CTGTATAATGTATTAAAGGCCAACTGGCAGAGACCAAAGGGTAACTTGTGAGACCAAAGGGTCACTGGTGGGGCTGCTATTGGCTTACATATACCCAAAGCCTATCTCAGGGATGGGGGATTTGGGAACGAGACTTACATGTCTCACGAGAGACTCTGGCCCAGTCTAACAATACACAATCTTCTTTAAATTTCACACCCCTCCACTGAATGGGGGGACCTTAGCTAACCACCCAAGGAAACATGGGGTAATGAACTTGTCAGGGCCGTGCTGTCCCTCATCCAGAGGAGTGACCCAACTTGCTGGCAATCCGTCTTCTCTCCTCCATCTCTGGCGCTCAAAACGACGTTCAGTTTTTTCAAAGATTACTGTGGTGACTTTTGCATGTTAAACTGATCTTCCATTCCTGGGCCAAATTGAAACTGGTTGTGCTATATTATCTGTTTTATATGTTATATTATCTGTTTTATATGTTGCTAAAGTCTAATTGCAAATATTATGTTCACAAAGTATATTGCTCTGTATTTCCTGGTCGATTTTGAGGGCTATGCTGGCCTAATGGAAAGATTTGGGAAGTATTTCCTTTTCCTCTATTCCTTGTCTCCAATTTGTGGGTGACTGGCAATATTTTTCCTTAAGGGTTTGACAGAATTCACCAGTGAAGTCATCTTTGTCAAAAGGCTTGTTTTGTATTCCTCATCACTCAATTTGAAATATTTTCTAATTTCTTTTGTGATTCTTCTTTGACCCATGGTTTCTGAGAAGTATGTTGCTTAATTTCCAAGTATTTGGGGGAGTTTCTAAATATATTTCTGTTATTTATTTCTAGTTTAATTCTGTGTGGTCTGGGAATATACTCTTATGATTTCAATCCTTTCTAATTTATTGACAGTTACTGTATTGCCTCATACAGTCTACATTGGTGACTATACCATGTGCTCTTGAAAAGAATATGTACTGTGCAGGGGTTCAGTGTAAGGTTTATGAATTTTTATTAGGTCATTTTGGTTGGTAGTGTTGTTTACTTTTCCTAGGAATAACTGACTCTTTTGTCTTCATTTTCTAGCAATGGTTGAGCATATGGAACAGTAAGTCCTCCAACTATGATGTGGTTTTTTCTATTTCTGCTCTTAGTTATGTCCATTTTCATTTCACGTATCTTGAAACTGTTGATAGCTGCATTCACCTGTAAGATTACCTTGTCGTTCTGGAGAGGTGGCCCTGTTGTCATTACAAGATGCTCCTCAATCTCAGTAATACGCCTCATCTTGAAGTTTATTTTATCTGCCATTCATGTGGCCACACCAGCTTTCATATACTTACTGTTTGCATGGTATACATTTTTCATCTTTTAATTTTTATCCTATTTGTGTCATTCTATTTAAAGTACATCTCTTATAAATAGCATGAAATGTGGCCTTGTTTTTTTAGCCATTCCACCATTTAATTAGATTGTTTGGTCCATTTACATTAAACGCAATTATTGACATGGTAGAGTGTAAGTCTGCCATACCGTTGTTTTCTATTTGTCCAGCTACTCTTTGTTCCTCTTCCCCTAACTTCTTTTGGGTTGCTTTTTTAGTATTCCATTTTATTTCTATTGACCTTTTAGCTATATTTCTTATACAATAAGCATCCCAAACCCACGACAGCGTGTCTTGAATTAGTATTGTAGTATTTCACATGATCCTTTTATTTCACATCCTATCTGATACTAATTCTGTTAATGATTTTAATAGCAAATACTATATTTTTCAGTTGGAAGATTTTCATTTGTTTTTCTTCTTGTTTATCCATATCTTACTGAAACTCTCCTCTCCTTACACATTATATTCATCTCTTCTTATAATTTATTTAACATATATATATTGTCCCATCCAGTGTAACTTTCATCTCATACATTTGGTTTTCATCTCTAGAAGTTTGGTGTGGATCTTTTATGTATCTTCCATGTCTCTGCTTCACTTTTTGGACTACTAAGTGAGTTGCATGACATGAGATCAATGTACAAAAAATCAACTGTACTTCTATATACTAGCAACAAACAATTGCAAATTAAAACTTGAAAATACCAATTACAATATCACCAAGAATATGAACTACTTAGGAATATACCCAACAAAAGACATGAAAGATCTACACACTGAGAACTACAGATGACCACTGGGGCAAATTAAAGGCCTAAATAAATCAAGAGATGTTCTGTGTCCCTGGACCAGAAGCCTCAACATCGTTAATACATCGCTTCTCACCAAACTGATCTCTAGATTCAATGTAATCTCATCCAAAGCCTCCAGAAAACTTGTCTGTAGAAATCGACAAGTTTATCCTAAGACTCATGTGGAAATTCAAAGGACCTAGAAGAGCCAAAACAACTTTGAAAAAGGGTAACAAATTTGGAGGACTGACACCACCTGATTTCAGATTTATTATAAAGCTACAGGAATCAAGAAAATGCACTGGTGTTAAGACAGACAAACAGACAAATGGAACTGAATAGGGAGACCAGAAATAGATCCACAAATATATGGACAATGGATTTTTATCAAAGCAGCTCAGTAGAAAACAGTGAACTTTGATCCATACCTCATACCATATGCAAAAATTAACTCAAAATGCATTATAGACCTAAATGTAAAATCTAAAATTATAAAACTTCTAGAAGAAAACATAGGAGAAAACCTTTGTGACCTGGGATTATGCAAGTATTTTTTAGATATGACCCCAAAATACAAAATATAAAAGAACCAATAGATAAATGGACTACATCAAAAGTTAAAACTTTTCTTTGAAATAGAGAGAACAAAAAGACAAACTACAGACCAAGAGAAAATATTTGAAAAGTATACATCTAATAAAGGACTTATATTCAGAAGATATAATGTACCCTCATACTCAAGGATAAGAAAATCACCCAATGATCTAATAGGCAAATTATTTGAACTTCACCAAAGAAGAAACATGGATGGCAAATAACTCTCTGGGGAATTTCAAATTAAAACAACAATGCAGCCCCTACAGGCCTGTCAGAAGGACTGGAATTCAAAGACCGGCCGAGTGTCTTCGGTGAAGACGTGGGGCAGCCGCGCTCACGGTCTGCAGCCGCCCGGGGAGGGTGTGGCATTTCACAGCGAGTTACACACACCCCACCACGCGATCCCGCCATCTCACTCCTAGGTAGTTACCCAGGAGGAATTAAAGCCTGTGCGTATGAAAGGTCTTGTACAGGAATGTTCATAGCTGCATTATTCACAACAGCCGAAGACTCAAGCAACAAAAATGGCTGTCAACAGGCAAATGTGGCAAATCCATACAACAGAATAAAAAGGGTGAACTACACGGCCACAGGGACATGATCCCATTTACATAAAACTGACTGACAGGGACAGAAAACAGGTCAGTATTGCCTGGAGAGGAGGGGGCGGGGGCGGAGAGGAGGAAGCTCTGGGCTGGAGGAAATGCGTGTTCTCTTGGTCATGGTGAGGGTTTCCTGGGTGTGCACATACGTCAAAGCTGACCAAACTGTATGCTTTATATGTGTGCTATTTAATGTGTGTCAATTACACCTCAAGAATGCTGTGTTTAAAGAAGGAAAAGCCTCTCACAGAGAAAACCCCAGGCCCAGAAGCAACAGAATCAGCAATGTGTGCAAAACATACTAATTACGTCCAAGCTGGCTTTTCTCCAGGAGCGCAATGTCGGTTTAACGTTAGAAAATCACTGTAAACTCCCACATTGAAATACTACGAGAGAAAAATCACAGCCATCTTCAGAGATGCAAAAAAAGTATATAACATTCAATATACTTTTGATAATAAATAAATAAGGTAAGACTTTGTAAACTAGAAGTGGGAGGGAATTTCCTTAATCTGATAAGAAATGTCACCAGAACACAGCTCACAGCCAACGTCCTACTTTCTGAGATCAAAAACAGGCTACTCTCACCATTTCTATCTGACTTTGCCCTGGAGGTCTTAGCCAGTGCAGTAAGTTAAGAAGAAAATCATAAGTGTTGGAAACTGTCATTCTCACAGACAAGGCCACTGGGAATGTGAAAATCCAGAAGAATCTACAGATAGGTTAGCAGAACTCAGAAGAAAGTTTATCGAGATAACTGGATAACTTGTCAATAAACAAGTCACTCATTTTTCTATGTGTGAGAATAAACAGAAAATGAATTCTTTTAACTAGATACACTTTATAAAAGCAACAAAAATATTAAATATCTAGGAATTACTCTAATGAAAGAGGTGGAGGCTTTATGAGAAAACTGAGTGACACTGAAGGAAAGTTTAAGGAAGGAAGGAAAGGCACCAAGTTCACAGAAGACTCAGTCTTACAAAGACGTAAAATTTTCCCGAATTAAACTATTGAAGGAGGGGGACTAGACGACAGAATGGTTCTAAAATTTACATGGAATCCAATGAGTGGGAATATCATCCAAGTCAACTAGAAGCAGCCCTCAGCAGCCCCTTTTGGACACGGTCCGTGGTGGTCGGGGGTCTCCTACAAGGGCCAGCTGGGCAGCGTGGGGTGGAAGCAGACAGCAGCGTCTAGGAGTAGATTCCCTCCTCCCCGCAGACACCACCAGGCACCTCCAGGGGCCAGGCAGGCCTCCGTGGGGTGAGGAAGTGAGGGTGCCGGTTACCAAGGGGCAGAGGTGGGAATTTCCATGCTGATGCTGGAAGGAAAGGAGGTGAAGACCCAGGAGCCGAGATGGACGAGGGCCCTTGAGGTGTGGGGCTGGGGTGGAGAGCTCAGCGTGCCCTGGCGCAGGAACTACTGGGTAAAGATAAGGTCTCTGGGGGAGGCAGGAAGTCCGGCCAGCCCGTGGCTTGTTTTCCGAGAAGGGGTGGGGGGTAGAGTTTAGGAAGCCTTCCGGGAAGGCAGCTCATGCTGCAGAGCCAGAGATGGGGGCTCTGCAGGGGGTGGGTGAGTGCTAACCCTGGAGGTGGGGGGGGGGGGCGCTCACTGGGGTGGGACCAGGGGTGCTGTGGGAGTGACCCAAGAAACAGGCAGGCCAAGAGCGGAAGCTGTGGGCCATGGGAAGCCGCGGTGTCAGTGCGGAGGGGCTGACGAGGCGTGGGGTCCAGGACCCTGGGAAGTGGAGGTTGAACCAGCGGCCGTGAGCTGAGAGGGCTGTCCACGGATGCCTGGGCTCCCAAGAAGAAAATCTCCAACCGTGCGCCAAAATCGTCAACAAACAAGCGAGAAGTCCTAGCAGTTCTGCAGCCTGAGGCAGCCCGTGCCGAACAGCCCTCCAGGAGAGACATCCGACCCGTGAGTCTCTGTGGGTGCGCAGCGGTGCCAGGTCCCAGGAAGGTGGGAAGGCGCAGCGGTGGGGAGACCTGCCCTAGGAGAGCAAGCCCTGAGCAGACTGGTGGCGCGGGCGGGCAGCCAGGGAGGCTCACGTGGGGCCGGAGCCACACCCCCTGGAAGGTTCTAGCGGCCTCTCTGCCGCAGGCAGAGCCGGGGGAGGCTGAGGCCACGGTGCTGCAGACAGAGTCCACAGCGTGGGCGGCCCTGCACTGGAACCCACAGCTGCGCCGCTGCGCCCAGGCCCAGCGGGAAGAGGGTGAGAGTGGACACACCGCCCACACCACCACCACGTCTCAGCGTCCTCCTGCGGTCATCAGGGCTGGCCACGTTCTCAATCACTTAAAATTACATCCTGAATACATTAGCTCTGGCATCCTGAGAACATGGTGGACCAGGCGAGGTTAAGGACATCACCTACAGCTAAAGAAGACCAACCTCACCAGCCTCGCTGGGGCTCACTCCTCCCCCCAGCCTGCCCGCTCCAGGCTCCTTTCCCATCCCACACCCTCGGCCGTGGGAGGCCCCAGGCCTTGGGCCTCTTCTCAGCCTCGTGAGGAAATGCCATCGTGCCCAGACGGACCCCCGAAGGCTCACCTCCACCCCCAGCCCAGCTCTGGACTCCAGTCTCACACGTCCACGTCTCCACCTGACTGTCCTTTCATCTCCAAATAAGCACACAGAAAACTTACTTCTGACTTCCACCGAACCCCTCAATCCCACTGCTCCCAGAGCCTGGGACTCCTGGCTCTTCCACACCTACGTCCAATCCATCAGCCAAGCCCACGGGCTCTGCCCCAGAATCCATCCTGTGATGGATGTGACTGACCCACCACAGTCACACTAGAGTGCACTCTACAACCTGCAACCACAGCCCCAGACCAGACCCTCGGCACTTCGTTCCTTTAAAGCGAAGACGCATCTGGCCCCTCCTCTGGTCAGAGCCCTGCGCTTCTCCCTGAGGAAGCCGAGCGCCGAGGACACCAGCAGGCTATGTGTACTGACCACTGAGGGGCGCCCACCTCTGAGCTCGGCCGTGGTTCTGCCCCAGGCCCCTCCCCAGCACGTAGCCCACGCCGCCCCCACTCTGAGCCGCACCCCCAGCACCCTGAGGCCTTTGCAGTCACCGTTTGCTCTGCCTGGCCCTCCTTTCCCTGCTATCTCCAGTGCCCCTGGGCCCTCAGGAGTCGGCACGAGCCACAGCCCTGCCCTGCACCCGGCACGTGTCACCACCCGTGGGTCCCAGGAGGGCCTGCTCACCAGCCTGCCATCCACCTCCTCCAACACCCCAGCTCCACGTGGCAGGAACTTGTCTGTTCGCTGCTGCATCTGAAGTTGAGAGCCCAGGCCGAGACCAGTGAGGACCCAGCAAACGCCTCTGAATGATGAAGGAGTGAAGGACTTCTGTAAAATGACTTCGGGGCAGAGGGACACACAGCCAAGCTGCCCCCACCCGGGCCCAGCGGGGCAGCTGGAGTGGCAGCAGGGCCCTCTCCCACCTTTAAGGGGCCGGTAAGCTGTCCCCTGCAGCCTGTGGGACCCCTTCTCTGATTCAGCACAGAGACTGATGGCGAGGTCTGCGCCCCACGTGCCAGGAAGCGGCCGAGGCCCCTTGCGGGCTCCTGGGCAGAGGGTCCTAGGGCCGACACCCCTTCGTGCCTCACTAAAGGGTTTCTCCGTCCACCTCATGTGACCCTCACAGTGGACCACCGGAGAGCAGGGAGGTAGGTGACCATGCGGCCGGCCAGGAGCCCCAGCCACTCGGAGCAGGCAGCGTGGAGCCCACCCAGGACAGCAGGGTCTGGGGCACGGCCCAGGCCGCTCCTGTGCCCCTAGCTCTGGCCAGGGGTGGGCAGTGGTTTCTACCAGAGCCCACTCTGCTGGATGGCAGGGTGTCCACCTGCACCCACATCCTACCTCTGTCACACCGGCTGTGGTCCCACAAGGACAGCGGGGGAGGGCAGGTTTCCCTCTGGGATCTGATTCCCACCACTCTGGCTGACAGAGCTAATCACAGGACAGGAGAGCCCCTGGGCGGAGGCCTGGCCTCCCAGGAGGAGGTGGGGGGCGGGGGGGTGTGTGGTGCCCGGCCCCGGGGGGGGGGGGGGGGGGGGGGGGGGAAGAGCCTGGCCCTGTCCTCCTCCGCCTGCCTCTCCCTTCTGTGGCCTCTTTTCATGTGAGAAGAAAGTGACTGAGGACCGACGTCAGCCTCCCATTTAAGACTCGGTTATCCTTTGGAAACACACTCGTGGCCTGGGAGGCGGGTGGTGTGGGCTCCCAGGCTGCCCAGTCCCCGGCCGCTCTCCCTGCGCAGAGGAGACTGTGGTCCCCTGTGCTTTCCCCCAGAAGACCAGACTCCCGTTCCTGTGGAACAGGGACCTCGGAGGAGGCACCTGCTTCCATCTCAGGCATCGACTGCTGTCCCCCCTCAGACGGGTCTCTTTATTGTGGAGGGAATCTCTGCAGCCAGGCTCACCCCTTTTGCATCCTCAGAGCTCTATCCTGGGAGGGATGCACCTGGATGGTCGCAGGGAACACAACAGTCCTGGGATGGGGAGATCCGCAGGCCCGGCGTCCAGATCTGGGTTCAGCTGTCAGCCGGACACATGCTGCAGGAGCCCCTGGTCAGCCTCTGCCTGCCCTGACCCAACCGAACACCCGTGCAGAACCTGAGTCCCTCTGAGCGCTCGGGACCAGGTAAGGAGCCGCGTCTGCCAGGCCCCTGCCCCAGAGAACTGTCGGGCGCCCCATGACAGGTGAGCAGAGCGTGGGCAGGGCTGGGACTTGAACCCAGCCCCACCGCCTGAGACTGCATCAGTCTTAGCACAGGTGGAGCTGAGGGTGTGTGTGCCTGTGTTCCCGTGTCGAGCGCATGCCTGTGTGTGCCCATTCCCGCAACAATGGGCAGCGAGCCAGCCAGGGCTGTCGGCAGCCGGGTACGTGTCTTGACTGGCTCCCATGTGCAGGGCAGCGTGTCTGTGGTAGGGGGTTTACCCTTGTGTCAGAGCCGTGTTTGTCCATGTGTTTCTGTGCAGGTGGCGTGTGTACAGGGACGTCTGAGTGTCTCTCTGGGGCCCGGGCACTGCCGTCTCTGTGTCTTCATCTGCCTGGGGCTGTGGTGTCCACGTGAATGCCTGCTCCGCTCGGGGGCCTGTGGGCTGGGCGCGGGGGGTGCGGGCATCTGTGAGTGAATCTAAGTCTGGGGGACGGTGTGTGGCTCTTGCGCTCGTGCTGGGTTTGGGGAGCACGTGTGTTGACTGGTACATGGTGGTGCAAGACGGGGACCTTGTGGTTTGTCCCCGTGCACCTGTGTGATGAGAACTCAGGCCCACCTCCCACCCTATCAAAGAAGTGGCCCTTCTGCTCCATCTTTCAGACTGAGAAACAGGAGCTGGGTGAGTACAGATCTCTGTTCCAAGTCCCACAGCCAGTCAGCGGCAGCTCAGAGCAGACATGGCTGTCAGGAGCCATAGTGGGAGAGTGGAAACGGGGGCCCAGGGTAGTGGTACCCAGGCCCTGGCCACACCGGCGGCTGACACCACACCACCGAGGTCTGACCAGGCTCCCTCTTCTGCCTGGAGTCACCGCCGCCCCTGTAGCCACCAGGCACCCCAGGGTCTGTAGCAGGTGAGCTCAGCCAGGGTCCTGCCATGACCCCGCGGGACAGCTGAGAGAGCAGAGGCGCGGGGAGGGCAGCTGTCCTGTCCAAGGCTCAGGTGGCCGGGGGAGGGCAGGGTTTGAACCCGAGCTGCCCATCCCAGAGCCCACACCCTGGAGCTCAGGGCCCTGCTACCTCCTAAAGTCTTTGCAGGATGAAAACGGGGGGTTCCTGCCGCCTGGAGCAGACACGAAACAAGGGCAGAGATACGAGACTGAGGTTTCTGTTCTCCAGATACATCCTGCACACGTGATCCAGCCTGTTCTAGCAGGGGGCCAGGGCTGGCGGCAGCTTCTCCCCTGTTACAAGGAATTGTCTTCACAGGCTTGAAAGGACCAGATCCTAAAGACAGAAGTCGGCTCCCCTCCCGCCCTCGCTGGGCAGCCGGCTCTCGACTGGGTGTTACTTCAACGTCAAGTGTGTGGACCCACACAGGGCCCCGTTCTGAGTCCCGTACAGTGCAGACAAAAAGCTAAAACCCCAGCCACACTACAAATGAGTGGGCTGACTTTTATTATGCCCGCGCCACGTGGCATGTGGGATCTTAGTTCCCCAACCAGGGATCGAAGCCACGACCCCTGCAGCGGAAGTGTGGAGTCCTAACGACTGGACCACCAGGGAAGTCCCTGGACTGACTTTTAAATGGGCTTTGGAGACCTGGAAGCTCACTAGGATGTCTGGAGGGCCCGTTCTTGGGACGGAGGGACAGGCTGACGTGGGGCAGGGGGTGGGGACCCAACAGGAGGGAGCAGAGCAGCTGCTCTGGTGGTGACACGTGCCCAGAACTCCAGAGACAGAGGCCCAGGGAGGACACACCCAGATATCTGATGGCGAGACCCCAGTCCTGCACCCTGGTCCCTCCAGATGGGAGCTTGGATGGGACTTCTCTGAGAAAACTTCCCACGAATGCCCAGAACCAAGAACACTGACAGTGGGGTGTCCCAGCCCAGTGACCCTTCCTGGGTATAGTCAGCATTTTGGGCCTCTCCAGTGCAGGCTGAGAGCTGAGGGTCACCAGACATCTGATGAGAGCCTCTAGCAGGCAAGGTGGAGCGAAACTAGGGAAAGACTGGAAGTCAGAGGAAGCAGAGCTCAAAGGGAGAGAATTTTGTGAATATCCTCGGACATGAGAAAACATGGATTGCGTTGTTGAAACAACAGAAACTTTTTAAAAAGAGAGAGAGAGAGAGTGAGAGGGAGAAACTCTTGCAAACTGGAAATATGATGGCAGAAAAAAAATTTCAGTAAGGATTGGAAGTGAATTGAAGAAATCGTTCAGAAAATCAAGGCAAGAATTGACATGCAAAATGGATACCAAACACGTTTTAAAATCAGGGAATTGGCCCAGAGATCTGATATCTAAGCAAGAGTACCAGAGACTCAGAGGAAACCATGGGGAGCTCCAGACCCAGGCTGGAGAACTGAGCACTTCAGATTAACCTTTTCCTGGAGGACAACCAGATAAGGGGAGCAAACCACGTTTTAATCCTAAAAGCAGCAAAGGGACAAGAGTCAGTGAGAAAGTGCCAGGCTGAGGAACAAAGACCACCGGTGTCTAGTGCGGGGAGCCCAGACTCGGCCCTCAGGCCAGCTGAGGCCCTACAGACCCCACAAACACGGTGGCCCTGCAAACCCACAGCCTGCCTAGGGAGGGGCTGCACCCTGGGAACGAGGGTGACTCAGGCAAGATCCAGCTCCCTGGGGCCCAGGACAACCACAAGTCGAGAATCCTCAGAGCATGAAAGTGCAGACTTTGAACTCGGAGTCACAGGATTCTAAACAACCAGCACCACCATGTGTCTGGAAGAAGTAAAAACCAACAAAAATCCCTCCTGGAGGGAGGGATTACATCAGAGTAATGCCAATCATTCCCTCAAATATTGCTTCAAATATCACCTTCAGCACAAAATCAAAGATAAGAGGCGCGTGAAGAAGTGCAAGACGATGAGCAGCTGCCAGCACAGGACTCAGGAAAACCTCGACGAAACAGCTCTGCTTACAAAACCCAAGGAGGTAGAACAAGTAGAAGCGCGAGGACACAGTAGACTGAACAGCCATCGACTTGACCTAACTGACACTTAGAGGACACACCACAAGACACAGAAGAATACATGCTTTTCAAGTGCACATGGAACACTTACCAAGATAGACCCTTATTCTAGGCTGTAAAACAAGTCTCAAATTTAAAAGAATTGAAAGTGATACAGTGTATGTTTCTGATCATAATAGAATTAAAATAGAAACCAATACTAGAATAAGATATCCGGGAAATCTCCAAATATTTGGAAACAGTACACTTCTAAATAACTTGTTAGTTAAATGAGAAATCAAGAGAAATAAGAAAATGTTTTTAATGAATATAAAAACACAACATATCAAAAATTGTGGGATTCTCCTAGAGCAGTACTCAGGGAAATTCATAGCATCAAACACCTATGTTAGAAAAGAAGAAAGACCTTAAATCAATGATATCTGCTTCCATATTAAGAAACTAGAAATATAATAATAAACTAAGCACAAAAATAAGCAGAATAAAGGAAATAATAAAGATCAGAGCAGAAATCAGTGAAATAGAGCACAGAAAAAAAAGAGAGAAAATCAATGAAACCAAATGCTGGTTCTTTGAGAGTATCAATAAAATTGATGATACGGGGATTTGCCACTTGTACAGACATTCAGGATCGACTGGCACAGACCTTAAAGGAGATTCCTGAGGGGGCTCTCTTCTGCCCCGCCAGCTCTGGCTGCTGTGCTTCTCCCCTGGTCCTGATCAAGAGCACCTGTGTGGACCTGGAGAGGTGCTGTTGGTCTCAGGTTACTCTCAGTGAAGACCTGCTAAAGCAGACACAGGAACGCCTTTCAGGTAACTGCTGATTCTAAAAATATTTTCAATCTTACAGCCCACCACCCTTTCCTTCACCACCTATGTTCTTCTACGCTGAGCAACGAATCACCACAAACTTAGTGGCTCAAAACAACACACATTTGTTATCTCATGGTCTCTGTGGGACGCTGGCCTAAGCACAGCTGAGCTGGGTCCTGCTCAGGGCCCCCAGGCTGCAGTCAGGTGGGCTGAGTTCTCATCTGAGGCTTGACCAGGGCCGGACCCTCAGGCAGAATTTGTCTCCCTGCAGCTGTGGGACTGAGGTCCCGTTTTCTTTCTGGCTGCTCTCGGCCCCGAGAGGCCACCGCTGTCCCCTGCCCTGGGGCCTTCCCACAGGCCTTCTCACGATGGCGGCTTGCTTCTTCAGGACCAGCAGGGCCAAGCTCAGACAGCGTCTTACAGGACGTACCGTGGTTACAGGAGGGACAGCCCCTCACCTTTGCATGTTTACTGGTTCCCATCCACCCTCAGGGGCTTTCTGTTGTCCTCAAAATATTAGTAAAAATGGACTGGAGATGAGCTGGGTTCACTCAACACCCTAGAGCTCCTTTGCCCAGACAACTGTTGGCCAAATTTATACCTAAGCCCTTCCTTCCACTGCTTAACCTCATAAAATTCCCTTTTCAAAAAATCTTTATGGGACTTCCCTGGTGGCACAGTGGTTAAGAATCCACCTGCCAATGCAGAGGACACGGGTTCGAGCCCTGGTCCAGGAAGATCCCACATGCCATGGAGCAACAAAGCCAGTGCACCACAACTACTGAGCCCATGCACCTAGAGCCCGTGCTCTACAACAAGAGAAGCCAGTGCAATGAGAAGCCTGTGCACTGCAACGAAGAGTAGCCCCCGCTCACTGCAACTAGAGAAAGCCCACATGCAGCAATGAAGACACAATGCAGCCAAAAATTAATTAATTAATTAATTAATTTTTTAAAAAATCTTTATTCAAATTACAGAGGAGGGGAATGTAAGGTGAATTTTAACAAAAGTAAACCTTGTTTATTGATAATGATGAAGCTGATGTTACCAGGAAGAAATTTCCTACTATATAAGTGCAGGGTGTAATGTTTTTCCTTAAAATGTTGACTTTAAAGAATGTTCCTTGCAATACAGGCAGCTAAGTCCAGATTTTATTTCTGACCGTGGAGTAATTCCTGAGAAATACTTTGATTATATGCCTCAAATGGACAGGGACTGTGTCTCCTAGTGCTGTATTTACACCTAGTATGGTATACCTAGGACAAGAGCCGGGCCTCATTAAACACTTGGCAACTAGCTGGACAATAAAGACCATGCTCTGGGGGGAGGGGAAGGTTCCTATCCACTCTCGGGATTGTGCAGCACGGGAACACAAGGCTACCCCAGTCCCCGTCACCACACCACTGTCCCATTCTTCAAAATTTAGGTGCAAACACACTATTGTTAGCTATAAGCGCCATGTGTTCAGCAGAGCTCCAGAACGTGCCTTGCATGACAGAAACTTTATACCCGTTGAAACACAGCTCCCCTTTCCCCTCCCGCAGCTCCTGGCAGCCTCCATCCTCCTCTGTTTCTATGAGTTTGACTCTGTTGATGCCTCGTATATGTGGAGTCACGCAGTATTTGTCCTTCTGTGCCTGGCTTATTTCACCGAGCATAATGTCTTCCAGGTTCATCCATATTGTCACATATAGCAGGATTTCCTTCTTTTTTAAGGCTGAATAATATTCCATTGTATGCACAGCAAAGAAAACCATCAACTAAATGAAAAGACAACCTAGTGAATGGGAGAAAAATATTTGCAAATGATATTAACCACTTTGGAAAACAGTATGGAGTTTCCTCAAAAAAATTAAAATTAGAACTACCATATGATTCAGAAATTCCACTCCTAAGTACATAGCCAAAGAAAGTGAAAACACCAATTCTAAAAAATACACACACACCAATGTTCATAGCAGCATTATTTACAATAGCCTAGACATGGAAGCAACCTAAATGTCCATCGACAGATGAATGGATAAAGAAAATGTGGTATATATATATATATATATATATATACAATGGCATATTACTCAACCATAAAAAAGAATGAAATAATGCCATTTGCAGCAACATGGATGGACCTAGAGATGATCATTCTAAGTAAAGTAAGTCAGAAAGAGAAAGACAAATATCATATGTTATCAATTATAAGTGGAATCTAAAAAAACGATACAAACAAACTTATTTACAAAACAGAAATAGACTCACAGACATAGAGAATAAACTTACAGTTACCAAAGGGGAAGCGGGGTGGAGGGATAAATTAAGAGTTTGGGATTAACAGGTACACACTAGTATATATAAAATACATAAACAACAAGGACCTACTGTATAGCACAGGGAACTATATTCAATATCTTGTAATAACCTATAATGGGAAAGAATCTGAAAAGGAATATATATATATATGTATGTATATGTATGTATAACTGAATCACTTTCTGGTGCAAGAGAATTGAAAACTGGTACTCAAGCAAATACTTGTACACGAAGGTCCATAGCAGCACTATTCACATATTGCCAAAAGGTAGAAACAACCCTAAGAGATGGATAAAGAAAGAAAAGTTGGTATATACTTACAATGGAATATTATCCAGCCATAAAAAGGAATGAAGTATTGATTCAGGCTGCAACATGGATGAACCTTGAAAACATTAAGCTAAATGAAAGAAGCCAGACACAAAATGTTACATATCATATGATGTCATTTATATGAAATATCTAGGATAGGTAAATCCACAGACAGAAAGCAAATTGGGAGCTGACTGGTTCATTTTATGTTATGTGAATTTCACTTCAATTTTTAAAAAGGAAAAAGAGAAGAATGTCAAAAAAGAAGGAAATACTTAAAATATTTCCATGAATATATAGATGAACATTATTCTAACCTCAGAGTAGCCAAGAATGTCCTTTAAAAGCATGTGAATCAGGGACTTCCCTGATGGTGCAGTGGTTAAGAATCCGCCTGCCAGTGCAGGGGACACAGGTTCGATCCCTGGTCCGGGAAGATCCCACATGCCACAGAGCAACTCAGCCCATGCGCCACAACTACTGAGCCTGCGCTCTACAGCCCATGAGCCACAACTACTGAAGCCCATGAGCCTAGAGCCCATATGCTCCAAAACAAGAGAAGCCACCACAATGAGAAGCCCTCACAATGCAACGAAGACCCAACACAGCCAGAACTAAATTTAGAAAAATAAAATAAATTTATTAAAAAAAAGAATGTGAATTGTAAAAAAATAAATATTGAAAATTTTGACTGTGTTAAAATTATGACCTTTAACATCTCACCAGAGAAGATATACAGATGAAAAAGAAGCCTGTGATAAGATGGTCAACAAAATTTACTAGAAAATTGCAAATCAAAATAAGCAGGGATGGGCCTCCCTGGTGGCGCAGTGGTTGAGAGTCCGCCTGCCGATGCAGGGAACACGGGTTCATGCCCCGGTCCGGGAAGATCCCACATGCCGCGGAGCGCCTGGGCCTGTGAGCCATGGCCACTGAGCCTGCGCGTCCGGAGCCTGTGCTCTGCAACGGGAGAGGCCGCAACAGTGAGGGGCCTGCGTATCGCAAAAAAAAAAAAAAAAAGCAGGGATTTCCCTGGCGGTCCAGTGGTTAAGACTCCGCGCTTCCACTGCAGGGGACATGGGTTCGATCCCTGGTCAGGAAACTAAGATCCCACATGCCCCACAGCACAGCCAAATAAATAAATAAATAAATTTTTTAAAAAGGAGATACCACTACTCACCTAGAAGAACAACTAGAATCCAAAAGCCTGACAATGCACAATGCTTGCAAGGATATGGAGCAAAAGGACTCTGCTTCATTGCTGGCGGGAAAGCAAATGACAAAGCCACTGTGGAAGATAGCTAGGCAGCTTCCTAACAGCTAAATGTAGTCTTGCCATATGATCTAGCAGTCACACTCCTAGGTGTTTGCCCAACTGATCTGAAAATTTATGCCTACGAAAAAACCTGCATGCTAGTGTTTACAGCAGCTTTATCCATAACCACCCAAACCTGGGAGCAACCAAGATGCCCTTCAATAGGTGAGCAAATAATAAACTGTGGTCCACTTAGTGCTAATTCCATCCAGTGGAATGTCATTTAGCACTAAAAAGAAATGAGCGATCAAGCCACGAAAAGACATGGCTGAATCTTAAAGGTACATTGCTAACTGAACGACACCAGTCTGAAGAGGCTACACACCGTGTGATTCCAATTTTATAACATTCTGGAAAAGGCAAAGCTGTGGAGACAGTAAAGGTCAGTAAGTGCCAAAGGGCCAGGGGGAGGAGAGAGGGTTTAACAGGTGAAGTTCAGAGGATTTCAAGGCAGCGAAACTATTCTGTGATAGTGTAACGGTGGATACATGATATTGATACTTGTTAAAACCCACAGAACTCTACTGTACAAAACGTGAACTTCAATGTATATAAACTTAAAAAAAATCATTTAGGAGGCTCGGGGACTCTAGATGGAATGCAGAAGGTGCCAAACGATTGAACTGTATAAGGAATGCAAGAAAAACCTCACTGCAGGACGTGGGGTGTAAAGGTGCTAGTCTAAGTAACCTTGGAAGTGAGTGGAGTCTGTAAGACCAATGGCAGGAGAAACTACACAGCACTGTGCTCTAGTTGACAAAGATTTTTCCTAACAGAGTACAGGTTAACAATTCTACTACCACTTTGCATGTACACTGGAATTGGACAATTAAGTTAATGGATGATGGGCAGTGGGAGCCAGGGGTTTCACTGTCGGAGTGGACATTTACAGATAAGCACAGCAAGGAGGATGGAATGGTCCATGTGGCGACGGATCAGAGGTGGAGACATCAGTAAGGTCTCCTGTTTGGCTTAGCACAGATACAGGTGTTACATACACAAATACGTGTGGAAGTGTGTGCACACAAGTTACTGTACACACAGGTCTCCTTGCTCTGTCAGGCAAGGGGGCCTAGAGATAACAGTATCCTAGTAGCGACAGGCACTGCTGTCACCCAGAGGTTGCTTTCTTTTTTTGGCCATGCCTCGTGGCACAAGAGATCTTAATTCCCTGACCAGGGATCGAACCTGTGCCCCCTGCAGTGGAAGCTCGGAATGCTAACCACTGGACCTCCAGGGAAGTCCCCAGAGGTTGGTTTCTAATATCATCGTATAATAAAAGGCACCAGGGCTCCTTGGGAAAATGGCTGATTCCAGGTATAGCAGGAAATGTGCAGTTTGAGCCTGGGGCATCTCAGCACCAGAAAGTAAGTATTCAAAAGAAAAGCCAAAATGATGGGGCGTGTCCAAGGGGCCCAGGAATCATCTGAGAGCTCCCAGTGACAAAAGCTGGGATGGTTCGAGCAACAAAATAATTAGAATAGCATCAGGTTATAACCCAAAGTATGAAATAAAATCCATGAGTCTGTACTGATATAAAGGACTGATTGGATAAATAAAGAAATGAGGAGAAAAGACAAATCTTCCATGCAAAAGAACTGCAAGTGATTTGGTCTATATTCCTTTCTCAAGGACGGAGAGCGCGACCGCCCCCCACCCCCACTCCTTAAGTGTGGGCTGATGTAATCACATCTCCTTCCAGGGAGGACAGTGTGGAAGGCTGGTGGGCAACCTGACAGGAGAGATGACACACGGCCTCAGCCAGGTGATCAGGGTCAGCACCAGCACTGATGATCCTTGTTGACAGTATGGACCTCTGATACGACATGATGAGAAGGACACTTTATCTCTGTGGTCTTCCCCCCAAAGATCCTTAACCCCAGTCGAATCATAAGAAAAACATGAGACAAACCCTAATTTGGGGACATCCTATAAAAGAGATAACCCAAACTCCTCAAAACTGTCAAAAAAAAAGAAAAGTATGAGAAACTCACAGCCAAGAGGAACCTAAGGAAGCATGACAACTAAATGTAAAGTTGTGTTCTGGATGGGATCCTGGGACAGGAAAAGAACATTGGGTAAAAACTAAGGAAATCCAACTAAAGTATGGACTTTAGTTGATAATAATGTATCAATATTGGTTCATGAATTGTAACAAACATACCCCACACTAATGTAAGATATTAGCATTAGGGGAAATTGGGTATGGGGTGTATGGGAACTGTCTGTACTAAATTTGCAACTTTTCTGTAAATCTAAAACTGCTCTAAAATAACTGAAAAATTAAGAACTCTGTTCATCAAAAGACATCTTAAAGGAACTGAGAAAAGCTATAACCTGGGGAAAGATATTTGCAAAACATGGTAAAAATTAAAAAACACTAATGAAGTGAATCAAAGATGAACCAAAAAATGAAGAGATAGACCATGTTCATGTATTGGAAGATTTAATATTGTAAAGATGTTAATTCTCCCCAAACTGATCTAGATTCAATGCAATTCCAATAAAAATTACAACAGAATTTTTTTCATAGAAATCAAGTAGCTGAATCTAAAATTTACGGAAAAGCTAAGGAACTAAAAGAGCCAAAGCTACTTTGAAGAACGAGAACACTCAGAGCGCTCGCACCAGCTGCTTCAAGCGTATAAAGCTGCCGTAATCGAGGCAGTGCGGCGTCAGAGAGAGGACGAGCTTAGGGACAAATGGAACAGAACAGAATCCAGAAATAGACCCATGAACACAGATCACTTCCCAATACAGGCCCATATTCTAGAGCATTAAATAAATCTCAAACTCTAAAAGATTCAAAATTATGCAAAGGATGCGCTCTGATTACAATGAAATTAAAATATCTGGAGAAATATCTCCAGAAAATCTCCAAATATTTGGAAATTAAATAACACTCTTCCAGACAACCATGGTCTATCTATATAATGGAACGGGCACAGACACCCTGGACATGCCTCAAAAACATGCTGACAGAAGCCAGAGACAAAAGAGGGGATATTGGGTGGTTCCGTTTCTCTTACATTCTAGAAAGAAACAGAATTAATCTATGAAGAAAAGAATCAGAACAGTGGCTGCCTCAAAGTGGGGGATTATGGGTTGACTGGGAAGGAGCATGCTTCTGGGGTGAAGGAAGTTTGTATCTTGATGAGGTGCGGGTTCCATGCATGTGTGCATTCGTCAAAACTCATCAAACTTAACACTTAAGGTCTGTGCGCTTCACTGTGTAAATTACACCTCAATAAAGAAATTTAGAAAAGGATATAAAGAGAACTCCTGCAAATCAATAAGTAAAAGGTGGCACCATGGAGAGAAATGGGCAAAAGACACACACACACACACTCACACACACACACACACAGAGGCATCTCACAGAAGCAGAAACACTCACTGACACTAACCATAGCAAGAGAAGCAGCGAAAGACGATTCCCAGTGAGATGTTATTTTTAGCCTCCAAATTGGCAAATATTAGGAAATCCACCAACACCATCTGTTGTAGAGGGTGTAGTTCAATGGTAGGAGTGTAATCACTACAGCCACTTTGAGGAAAGAACTTGGCATTTTCTTGCAGTTGCATGTGAAGTGCAGCCCCAGCACTCCCATTCATAGGGGTGGCTGCAAGAGAAACCCTGGCGCCCCGCACTCAGGAGCTGCGCACAAAGAACAAATGCACAGATCGTGAGGCAGACACGATAGGATGTTACTGCGCAGGTGTCAGAATGAATGCAGTACAGCTACCACAAAGAGTAAGAATCTTCGCAACCATAAAAGCAAGACCCAGAAGACAGCATGTAGCATGATACCCTTTGTTATGACGTTTGAATACGAGCAAAACTAAGCAATGTGTTATCTATAATTAAAATGCTTTAGGCAGCAGGGGAACCCCCATGAGTGGTCCCTCTGAGAGGGAAGGAGGGGTGGCAGAGGGGAGGAACTAAGGTCACTTATTAGCCACTGTCTTGAGTGGAGAGCAGGTTTACAAGAGTCCCTTACCTTATTTTATACCAACGAATAAATAAATGCTCTGCATGGAGAGGAAATAAAACGATTGCTATTGGGTAGCAGCCCCTCCCCTTTGGACCTCAGGGAAGGGCCTTGAGACTGGGAGCCAGTCTCAGGCGTCACCAGGGCCAGGACACCTGGAGGGCAGGTGACAGGCCAGGCTCTATTTGTCCCACCCCTTACATCATATTCCCCCCTCACAGTCCCTCCATGGACCCTGCAAATTGCTCTGAGTCCCGCTGGTGAGAATGCCAATTAGCGTCCTCCAGAAGACAGGGCTGGGGGGGCAAAGCCTCTAATGAGCCCCATAAAAGCCACCTGGGCCCTGAGGCAGCAGGACCCAATGAGATGTGGCACTTCCCCTAGACCCTCCCTGGAGACCTTCTGCGAGGGGAGGGGTGGGGTAGGTTGGCAGTGACCTTGGTCTTGAGGCAAAGGGTCTGGGGGTGCTACGAGGGCAGCACCTTCCGCGTGCCCCCAACACCTGCCACCAAGTTGCATGGCATAGACAGCAGGGCACGGGCTCCTGGAGCCCCCAGCCCTGATGTCCCGTGTCCAAGCTGGCCCACCAACCCCGGTTCTGCAGCCCCTTCTCAGGCCCAGCCTCTTCTGCCGCATCGCCGACGGGTCTCACATCGCCAGGGACTGGGACACAGTCCTCAGTCCCCTCTGCACCCCCCACCAGCTCTGAGCCCTCCTGCAGCCCCTCCCCACGGGGCTGGGCACCGGGCGCCATCAGTGGGGGTCTCCAAGCCCCTTCGAGGTGAGCCAGGAGCAGCCACCAGCTCAGCCCCGGCCCAGGGAAGGTCAATGTAGGAGGAACCGGCTGAGGGTCGCCCGAGAAGTACACTTTGATGCTCAGAAAACACAGGATAAAGACCTCAGGTCGGTTCACGGAGAGTCATGTGGGGACACCAAAAGTGGGGATCAACCCTCCCACCCCCTCCCCCCACACCCCCAGCCCTGCAAACCCCTGGCCCAGGTTTTGCTCACCCCTGGAGAGCCGGCTGGCCCTCTGATGGAAGTGGTGTCCTTCCTGAGGCCTGAGGGGCCCTGGCCAGAGAGCAGTACAGAGCAGCAGTCCCTGAGGGCCCACGTGGAGGAGGCCAGGGAAGTGCCCAGACACACAGCCTAAGACGGCACACCAGGCAGGCAGAATGGGTCTTCTCTCCTGCTATGTGCACACATACACCTGTGTGTGAGTGTGTGTGCATGTACCTGGGGGTGTGTGCAGGAGTGCACCTGTGTGTGTGTGTGTGTGTGTGTGTGTGCACGGGCACACGCACTCCCACGCCTGTCCGTGTACCTGGTGCTGGGACAGGGAACAGTACGCACCTGAGAGCACCCACATGAGTGTGGAGGTAAGAGGTGTATCTGCGCGCACTGGTGTGCAGGCACCGAGGCCGCCTTGCCAGGTGTTAGCTCAGGGCGAGGTGCGTGCTGGGCTGAGAGGGGGTCAGTGCTGCAGCAGCTTTGAGAAGGGTTACAGTGCCCCCATGCAGCTCTCACGACCCGGCCCCCTGCCCAGCACACATCACACCTGCGTCTCTCCGCTGTCCAGGGTACTCAGAAGTGACCCCCCTGCCAGGGAGGGCTATGAGAAACTCCACTAACTCCACTGAGACCTTGGTGACAGATGTCATCCTGCTGGGCTTCCCTGGGCTGTGCCACCTTCAGGGGCCACCGCTCGGGTCATTCTTCACGATCTACATGGTGACTGTCCTGGAGAACCTGGCCATCGTGGTGACCATCAGAGCCAGCCATCCACTGCACACACCCGTGTACTACTTCTGGGCCAACCTGTCGGTGCTGGAGACCCTCTACACCTCGGTCACTGTCCCCAAGCTGTGGGCTGGCCTCCTGGCCTCGGCGAGGACCGTCTCCTTCTCAGGCTGCCTCACCAGCTGCTCCTCTTCCTCTGCCTTGGCTCCCCTGAGTGCTCCCTCCTGGCCACCATGGCCTGTGACCGGTTCCTGGCCATCTGTCGCCTGCTGCGCTAGCCGGCCATCACGGACTCGAGGCTCTGCTGAGTCTAGCCCTCAGCTCCTGGCTGGGTGGCTTCCTGGTCTCCTTTGTGTCCATGGCTCTCACCTCCTGCCTCAGGCTCTGTGGCCCCAACGTCCTCAACCACTTCTTCTGTGACATCTCACCCCTGCTGCGGCTCTGCTGCTCCGGCACCATCACCATCGAAATGCTGGACTTCGTGGCAGCCCTGGCTGTGCTCGCGACCTTCCTGCCAGTGACCGTGGTCTCCTATGCCCACATCGTGGCCACGGTGCTGAGCATTCCAGGAGGGTCCGGCCACCACAAGGCCTTCTCCACCTGTGCTTCCCACCTGGCGCTGGTGGCCATCTTCTACACCACCACCATCTTCATGCACGCCTGGCCTCACGCCGTCAGCTCCTTCGACTTCAACAAGCTGGTGTCCATGGTCTGCTTGGTTGTGACCCCACGGCTCAACCCCGACATCTACTGCCTGCCGAACCACGACATCAGCGAGGCCCTGGCCAAACTCCACCAGGCCCCTGGCCCCTCCTAGCACCAGCTGCAGGGGGAGGAACTTCAAATCCGTCCCCCGTCATCTGCTCACAGCCACCAGCCCACACCAGGCAGGCCATGGCTCTCTCCCAGTGCAGCCAGCAAGCTCCTCTCTTCCCCCCTCACCCTGAGACGGGAGCACAGTGGGAGCTGCCGAAACTCCGAAGGCTCCAGCTGCCTCTCACAGGGAGTTTCAGCACCCAATCAGGGGACAGCTCCTCAGCCCAGGACAAGCTCACTCCGAGCTACCGGGAAGGTCCCCCTCCACCATCACTCCCCCGACCACCTGTGACCTGGTCAATCTCTGGCTTTCCCCCACGCCTGGAAGCTTTCAAGATCTTCTTGTTGTGTTTGGTGTCCAGGGTATGCTTGTGTGTGTGTGTGCGTGTGGAGTTATCATGCTTGGAGTTTGTCACGCTTCTAGAATTAGAGACTTGCTTTCTCTCACCAGCCTTGGAAAGTTATCAGCCATTACCTCCTTAAACACTGCGTCTGCCTCATTCTTCCTTCCTCTCCTTTTGGTTTCAAAAGTGCATGTATGTTGGAACGCACAGCTTTGCATAACCAATACGGGCAGGCATTTAAAGGCGTCGTCACCTCCACAAAACTTGCAGTAAACCTGGCGAGGACCCACCCTCTGTGATGAACGCCCTGATGCAGGCCCCATTCCTCATCTCCCTGGGCTTGCTTCTCGCCGGCCCAGCAGCTCCTGCACGCATCCTCTCGAAGGCTCTCCAGGCTCGGTGGCATTTCCTGGGGTAACTGCGATGAGGGGAAGCACCCTGCGGTGGTCAACAGCCTGACTGTGGAACCTGACCCCATTGTCATTCCCAGGAACGTGACCATCAATGCTGCGGTCAGGACCACTGTGGGCCTCAAAGATCCTCTGAAGGTGGTATTAGCTCTGGAGAACAAAGTGGCTGGCTTTTGGGTCAAAGTCCCAGGTGTGGAGCAACTTGGTAGCTGCGCCTACGAGAACTTCTGTAATGTGCTTGAAGTGTTAACTCCCCTTGAGAATCCCTGCCCAGAACCCCTGCACACCTGTGGGCTTCCCTGTCACTGTCCCTTCAAAGAAGGCACCTACTCACTGCCCAAGTCTAACTTCTTCCTGCCTGACCTGCAGTTGCCCAGCTGGCTCAGCAGCGGGAACTACCAGTCGGAGACCATCCTAAGCAACGGGAAGCGTCTGGGCTGCGCCAAAGTCTCCGCCTCCCTGAAGGGCAAAGAAGGTGGCACTTGTCACAGCAGAATGAAGGGGTGTGAGGAAGGCATCCTCTTCCTCTGTCTTACGTTGGCCAAGGCCAGATTCTACTCTCTGTCCTTCTACAATGATGACACTCCCCCGCTGAAAGTCATTTTATGCCACCTACAAAATTTTTAGGCGTGGGCCAGCAGCCCTAACCGAAGCGAGGATGAGCCTGGTGGTTTTTGACAGCCCAGGACGTCTACTGGGCTGGCCACTGCATTTTCCTCCTCACCCCCGTGGCTTTCTCTCTAAGAACTCAACTCATTTTCTAAACAGTCAAGGAAGGGGGCTAACGTGTTTTGTGACCCCCTGTTCAGACTGACCCAGTCTTGGTCTCCTGAAGTACCTTTGTGACGTCTCTCATTGATTTTGTGTGTGTGTCACCGACCTAAAAGCGGGGTGAGAGTACTAACAGTTTTCATTTTACCCCCACCCCCTCTTACAATGAAGGGTCTGAAGGAGTCGATCTCAGTCTGTTCCTCCATTAACTTCTATGATTTAGTGCTCTTTTCTAGACTTGCCCAGCTAACAGTGGGGCACAGTGTATCCTGGAGAGGCACGGCATGTGATGGGAGAGATATCTGAGAATGCTCTATGTGTTTAAGACGTCTGCGAACTCAGGTGCCTGCAGGGCAAAGCACGAGACATCAGTGGACCACGCGGAACATCACATTGTTTCCGGGCACATCTTCCATCCTTTCCTTCGTATAACATAACCGATCCGAGGCAGCTGCTGCCCAGTCTCGAGCTGGGGGTATAATCAGGGATGAGGGGACTGGGCTGAGTTGGAAAGGGCACATCCGGTCCGTAGGGACAGCTGCTGTCTAGCTCTAGCCAGTAAGCACCACAGGAGAATGCAGGCTTCGTCAGCTCTGCCTGGTCGTTGGCTGCCCAGCTGCGGGGGGTGGTAAGCAGTCGAACTGCAGAGCCTGTGGCTTCTCCAGTGCACGGCTGTCTCCTGGTCTCAGGCCGGACTTTACTCTGATCGACAGAAGTGGTGAGAGTAGGAAGCTTTTCTTGTTCATATTTTTTAAGGGAACGCATTTAAAGGCTCTCCATTAAGTATGATGTCTGCTGAGGGTTTTTTTGAAATACAGCCTTAATCGAGTTAAAAAATTCATTTCAACGACTAGTTTTCTTGGCATTTTTCCCCACCAATGAGTGTTGATGGAAATCAAACGCTTGACAATGGCGATCGTATAACAATATGTAAATGCACCAAATCAACATGTTGGACACCTTACATTTACAACATGTTACATGTCATATGTATTTCAATTTAAAAAATAACATTTAAAAATTAAGAAATGGCTCTCTTTTGCTCAGGCCCATGGCATGTCTTCATCCTGCCAGGAAGCTCCATAGCCACTGACAAGACCAGAAGTGGCCTGATAAACAGTACAAGAAAGCAGAGCCCAGAGGGCCAGCCCTTATGGAGGCGCTTCTCACGCAAAGGGAACTGTGCTCAAAACAGTAGGGGTTGAAGCCAAACAGCCAAATTCTGCCATAGGGAAGTGTGTCAGGCTTCAGTTAATGAAGAATGGCCCAAAAGTCCCAGCCTTTGCACCCAGTGATGGTTGTTTGAACTTTACGGAGGAAAATGATGAAGTTCTGGTTGCTGGATTTGGTCGCAAAGGTCATGCTGTTGGTGACATTCCTGGAGTCGTCTTGTAGGTTGTCAGAGTAGCCAATGTCTCTCTTTTGGCCTTAACGCAAAGGTTAGAAGAAAGGACCAATATCGTAAGTTTTGATGGTGACGGCACGATAGTAATACATTTTCACATGCAAAAAACGCCCCAAAAAACAAAAAAAAAAAATTAAGAAATGAAATGCTTTGTATTCTCCTTCTGAGAAAATCATGAGCGTTTTCTCCCTTGGCGCAGCAGTGAGTAAAGTACGTCCGCACACTCGGCGATGTTGAAAGCACCTGGACCTGAGTGGTGCGACCTGCTTCTGATGTACTCTTGGGCTCAGTGGCTAACATTTTATTTAGATATTTCATGTTGATATTTAAACATAAAATAGTCTAAATTTTTTTCTGTGCTTCCCTTATATATTTTAAGAGAAAAGGTTTAGGGTCTCGAAAAGGGTTAATTAAGCCTCAGCCCGTGGCTCTTCCTACGTGGTGCCCTTGGTTCTTCTCTCTCCTCTGAACAACTGTCAGACTCAGAGCCCAAAACTGTGCCCTTTCTCTCATATTTGCTATCTGTTTGCTGCTCATCCAGAGAAATTTCCTTAACTTTATAATTCAATTCTCCTGGTTGTTTCTCAGAGGTTCTTTCTTAGCCTCGACCTTTGTCACAGCATCCTGTTCTTATATAAATAGTATCCCCCCCAGCTTTTCTGAGCCTATGAGCTGGAATATTTTTTGTTTTCTTAGGTTTTCTTCTAATTCCTCAAACTTCTTGAGCCTTCCCCCCCCCCCCATTTCTTTACCTTGGTCTTTCTCTGTTGTATTGCAGACTTTCTGTCTTTGGATGCCTGATAAATGCTGTTTGCTGTTCACACTTTAAAGCGAAGCAGTGGGAAGGCTACCTGGAAGCTCCCTGTGCTCGGCAGGACCCTTGAGAATGAGGGGGCAGGGACAGGCCATCGGGCTGGGGACCCTCTAAGTGCAGGTGACGGAAAGCACTCATCCAGAGAAGGTCCACGGCGTCAGCTGTGGCGCTGCCTGACCCGGGAGGTCGAGGGGGCACAGGGCCCGACTCACTTGGCCTCAGGCTCCATGTGAAGGCTCCACAAGGGTGACGGGTCCTCGCATGCAACGGCTCCAGGCGCAGCCTCCCGCGGAAGGAGAGCGGCCTCTCTCAGCAGCTCAGACCACGGCCAGGGGCCTTACACTGGGAAGCAGGTCCACGTGGCCAGGAAGAGCCACAGGGCATGCCACATCCCTTCACAAGACCAGGGGAGGGGGCAGTCACAGTCAGACCCCCATGGGCCGAACATAAGAGAGGGCTGGCTCCCCAGGGCACACACATGGATGCTTTGACCGGAACAGGGAAAGGAAGCTGAGAGGCCAAAGCGGCAGCTGTCCCCAGCAGGCCCCACACCGCGCCGGGGCTTCCAGGTGCTTCCTGATACCGTCAGAGAAATGCCCTTCTTTCCTTGGGGTGAGCAACACGCTGGGGGCCATTCTGTGCGTGGGACCAGGGGTGGGGGGGGCTCAACCAGAGAATGCAAACCTTGGACGAACCCCCATTTCTGTCCCCACCCCTCCTGCCATCCATCACCACAGCAGCCCAGTCCCTGAGGCTGGGTGGGAGGCTCTCTACTTGGCCGCTGCCCCTCTGGCCCAGGTGGCATTTGAAACCCACAGGCCCTGAGATTGCCCAGGAGAATGTGTGGAGCAGCGGTGCTGAGCCTCCAGGGACCACGAGGGTCTGATGGAAGCTGAGAGATCGAATCACATAACAACCCTCTGAAGTTCAGGAGGTCCCTGTGCCCACCTCCAACACCATCAAGAGGGCCTGGTGTCCCCAGGTGGAGTGGCTGGGGTGAAGGCCTAGAGTCAGTGGGTGGAGGGGAAGAGATTCCAGAGGACAAACCAACCTTGGGAAGCAAGACAGCACCATTTCAGACGTGGTCCCAGAGTCCAATCCGGCCGGGACTGGGGAGGCCCGCTGGCTTGAGCAGTCGGGTTACCGGTGGTGGGGCTACCTGAGGACCCCCTGGAGGAGCCTGAACAGTGGGCACTAAAGGGCGGGAGGAGGGGGGCCCACGAGGGGGTGCTGCTCTGGGACTCAGACACCATGGGGCCCTGGAGAGCCGTCCTCCCCTCTCTGTGCACCGCGGTCAGGAGCTTAGGGTCCGACGTCGCATTCTGTGGTCCCTGTGTCTGGGACACACCCACCCCGAGAAGGATGGAAATGAGGAACGGGAGAGGGTGGGGTGGGAGAGGTTAGGGTTTGGGGCGGGTGGAGTGGGATGGACTGTGGGAAGGTGGCGGTGTGCGCACCGGGTGCTGAAGACAGCGGGGCAGAGGGTCCTGTCGAGAGACAGGACCGGGGTGGGGGCGTTGCGGGGGGGGGACGGGGGCCGCTAGGACGGGGTGCTGGGCAGCGAGAGGGGCTGCGCCTCGGAGCGCCTGCCTTTATCTCCTCCCTTCCGTCTCCCGGGGGATGCGCCTCCGCGTCTGCCCACCCCCAAGCCTAGGGCGGAGGCCTCACGCAAAATTCAGGCTCCGCGGTCGGCGCTTGGCGGTCGGCGCTCGGCGCTCCGTGCAGTCTCCGCCGCAGCTCCGTCCTTCCCGCTCGGCAGCGGTCCCTGGAGCGCGGCCGCCGCGGTTCCGAGCGAGGCCCGTGGCTGGTAAGACCGGGCGGCGGAATGTGGGCGCGCACCGGGAGGCTGGGGCTGGCGCCCGCCGGGCTAGAAATGAAGACGCAGCGAGGGGCCGACAGGGCCCGGGCGGAGGGTGGAGCCTCCGGCAGGTGGTCGCATCCCGGTCCCCCCGCCCATTAGCTGAGCCAGGCGGTGGGGGTAGGTGGGGGGGGAGCGCGAGGCAGAAGCGGGCGGGAGGCGACCCTAAGCTGGGCCCGGGCCTGCGGCGGCGGGGCGGGGTCCGCACAGGGTGACGAGCCCGCGAGGCCCGAACCGGCTCTGGCCCCGCGTAGCCCCGGAAGGGGTGGGAGGGCCGGGCCGAGTCTCACCGTTGGTCCCTTCTCCAGACCCCGATCTGGTTCCTTGGGGACCCTCGGTCCCTGAAACCCCAAGGTGGCCTCTGGTCCTGCCGAGCCCTGGAGACCGGAGTCGGTCCTTCCAGAGCAGCCCGGAATACGGGGCCCCCTCCCCAGGCCTGAGCGCCCCCCGTCCACCGGAGGGTGCTCACCACCGCCCATTCTTTGCCCCTACTCCACCACCACCACCCCCACGCACAGAATAACCCGCAGGTGCTGAACCCTCTCACCCCCTGCCTCCCCTTCCCAGTTACTGAACAAGAGCCCACGCCCTCCCCAAGCCTGAGTCTAATCCTCAGGCATTACAACCTCCTCCTCTTAGCCCACGCCAGCCTGGGCCGGTAGTGCTCCAAGGTGCTGGGGCCCCATGTACCACCAAATGCTGAGCCCCTGTCCCCAGGCCCCGGGCGCCCTGGGCCTCGCAGAAGCTGAGGTCCCTTCCTCCGTCCTCCCGCAGGTTTTGCTCCACGAAGATGAACTGGACTGCCGCCGCGTGCTGGGCTCTGCTGCTAGCGGCCACCTTCCTCTGCGACAGCGGCGCGGCCAAGGGCGGCCGTGGCGGGGCTCGCGGCAGCGCCCGGGGTGGGCTGCGCGGGGGCGCGCGCGGGGCCTCGAGGGTGCGCGTGAGGCCTGCGCCCCGCTACGCCGGCTCCTCGCTGCGCGTGGCCGCGGGAGCAGCGGCGGGGGCAGCGGCGGGGGCAGCCGCGGGCCTGGCGGCGGGCTCGAGCTGGAGGAGGGCCGCGGGGCCCGGGGAGCATGGCCCAGACGACGACGAGGACGGTGCACCCGGCGGCAACGGAACGAACCGAAGCGTCTACAGCTACCGGGCGTGGACTTCGGGCGCGGGGCCCACGGGTGACCCTCACCTCTGCCTGCTGCTGGGCGGCGCCCTGGGCGCCCTGGGGCTGCTGCGGACCTAGGCCGGGCTGGGCTCGGGGGCCACATCTGCCCCCAGCCCGCGCCTGCCCTGCGGGCCACCACAGAGGCTGCCCAGCACTGAGCGCCCCTTGTCTCCACTGCCCAAGGCCTCTGAGCCCAGAGGAGCTGCGTGGCCAACTCCCGACAGTCCAGCAGCCTCTCCTCCTGTGACCCAGAGGCACCTCCTGTTCCCCCTCCTGCCCGATCCCTTCCCCAGCCTCCGCACCTCCCACCCTACCAGGGGACCAGTGGCCCCTCAGCTCCAGGATGCCCTGCCTGCCACTTGGAGGTTAGGGTACCCCCCAGCCAGAAAGGCAGGTGTCCTGAGGTTCCTGCACCATCCTGGCCAGCTGCCCACCACTCTACAAGCTGTTCAGGCCACTCCAGCTCCCCTGACCCCACCTGGACACTTGAGAGGTGTGGACGGTGCTGACCACCAGGCAGAGAGGTGGGCCCTCAGGCTGGGCTGGTTCGGCCACACCCCTGAGGACGTCGTGGCATCCCCCCCAGAAACAGCCCCAGTGGGCCAAAGGACTTGAGGATTTGGGGGAGAGGAGAGGTTTCCCTCGCAGGCTGTAGTGTGCTGCCTGCCTGTCCAGAAAGGAAGGGGGCCACATCTGTGGATTAGTGAGCCCAGACGTGGCCCCGTGGTTCTCCAGACGGCTCCCAGGATACCCTCGCCCACAGGAACTGCCCACGCCTTGCCCCTGCCCTTGGGCCCAGGGCCCGTGTCCCCCCACGGGCAGACGCTTTGCGAGACCCGCCGCCAGGGACTCCCTTAAAGCCACTTTGCTCTGACTTGAAACAGCTCTTCTTGGACCTATTTTGGAAGAAAAAGAAAATCTGTTTAAACTTCAAGAGTTTTCCATTCGCTCTGAGCTCCAGGTCCACGTTCCAGGATAAGAGCCCCACCTGTACTCGGGGACGGCAGCTGTGGCAGGCAGCCCCTCGGAAGCTGAGGGCGAGGTGGACCAGAGGGGCCGGGGCTCCAGTCAGACCCACGGCCGGCATGGCCACAAGGCAGGGCCCAGTGCCCAGCAAGTACCACCAGATGTGAGGGCACCTGTCTAGCAGAAGAAAGCCCAGGAGAAGCTGAGCTTCCTCCACACCCCGAGGGCTGTCAGAACAAGGCCAGAGCAGCCTCTGAAGAAACCACAGGGCGCGTCCTGACAAGGGTTTGCGGCTGGCACTCAACACCCGCGCGGAAGGCCAGCCTTTCACCTCTCAGGTGCCTTTCCCTCAAGCCGCCAGCCTGGTCCACTGGCCATGAGCTCAGCCTGGGGCCCCAGCTCTTTCACATGTCCTCTGGCTTGAATAGCCTCTTGTCCCTCAGAAGGATGGCTCCGGGGTCTGGCTTCCGGCTCAGGCTCTCCTGTGCTCAGCAGGAGCCTCCCCGGCAGGGCTGCCTCCAGAATCTGCCCTCGCCCGCCCCTGGGCTGCAGGGCCTTTGGACTCAGCTGATGGACGCCAGTGCCAAGACCAGCATCTCCCAGGAGCCGTGCCACCTCTGCTCTCCCACAGCTGGCACTCGGCTCTGGTTACAGTGAAGGTCTCCAGATTATCCGCGGGACCTGGACCAAGCACTTTCCTCCAAAGACCCAGGCGCTCCGCTGCAGGACGCAGCTCCCTGCAGCCTCCTGTGTCCACACTGCCAGCATTCTTGGGTGCAGCGTCCAGATGCGCTCTGTCCTCCCAAACCAAGCCCGATGCTCCCAAAGACCAACAGGTCGTGGCCAAGCCCTGGCTGGGGCCTCAGAGGCAGCGTGACCGTTTTAAAATCTTGAACAGGGGGACCCATCAGGGCGGCCCCTTGGTTGACTCAGTTCTCCCTGATGGGCCCGGCCAGGCTGTGCTCAGCCTCAGAGACCCACCCGGACCTGGACTGTGACTGGCCCAGGCCTTCACGTGCCTCTGCAGCGTGAGCCGCCAGCACACTCGGGATGTGATGGAAACACCACTCTCGTCAAGCTTTTCCACACACCAGCCCGACTCCAGCGGCATCTGGCGTCTGGCACAGCTGCGAGTCTCTGAATGCTTCCCACCCCTATGGGTCAGGGTTCCGGCAGGAGGCCGGTGGGTGTCTCAGGAGACTTGGCAGGTGTGCTGGGTGTGGGGCAGCCACACGGGGCGGCAGGACCTAGAGGGGCGCCTACAGGAAGGGCCGGGGCTGCTGACCAGGTGCAGCCTACCCCATCCCCACCCCTTCCCCCCTCCGGCCTCTCCAGAATGCAAGCTGGTGGTCATGTTCCTGCACCCCTTCAGGTGTGACCACAGCAATGCTGAGCACTGCCTCCGGGAAAAAGTCCTGCTGTCTCATTAGCTGGAAGGTGCTGGGAGGCGGTGGGGAGGCCTAGGGTCTCCGCTGACCACACCAGCCTGTGTGCGGCTGGGCTGTGAGCAGAGCGGCCCCGGCCACCGAGGGGACAGGTGGTCCTTGGGTTCTGCCACAGCTACTTGGGACCTCTTGTCCGTGTGTGTGTGTGCACGTTTTAGTAGTGAAATAAACGCTCTACTGCCAATGAGACTGTTTCTTATTGCAGGACCCAGGACTCCGTGTCGGGACTCTTACACAAGAGCCTTGGGTACTAAGTGGTTCACGTTCCGTTTTTCCTTGGTGAGGGGCCCAAGGGGCTGCACGGGTGCACAACCAAAGGGCCAACCACAGAGACAGGGCTTTTAATTTTAAAATTACAGATTACACTTTCAGCTCCTTCTGAGAAAACACCAGCTTCTCCTCAAGAGAATATTTAGGAGATACTGAACATGAGTGCGTTTCCTCCCCCCGCCAGGCACCCAGGGACGTCCACTGCCCTAATGTCCACACCCAGGCTCAGTCCCCTGTAACCAGGGGCTGGGCTGTGCAGCAGGAGGGCATGGCCTCCTTCCTAGAGCAGAGACCGGGGAGTATACAGTGACCAGCAAGGAGCCTGTGGACAGGGGACTCCTGGGCGCCCACCCCTGGCCGTGGAGCCGCGAGGCCCTCCTGCTGGACTAGTCAGGGCTCCGCCGCAGGGGGGCCCTGCAGGAGGTCCCGGTCCAGCATCACGGGGCCCAGCACCCCGCTGCGGAAGGCCCGCAGGAAGTCTCGGGCGGCCGCAGGGTAGTTGGGCTGGACAACATTGACGTCACCTGGGGAAAGCAGGAGGGCCCAGTAAGGATGGAGCCCCACTCGGGAGCTCTAGCCCACCCACCTCAGGCCCGTTCAGGTGGGCGCCTGCGCTGCACACTTGGGAAGCTGGAGCCTCCAGAAGCCACAGGAAGAGGGTGGGGCCGCCCCGCACACCCTGCACACCCTGCCCACCCTGCCCCGAGCCCAAGCCCAGACCGAGAGCCCCTCCCCCAGAAGCTCCGCCCCCCGAGCCCAGCCTGGGGCCACCAGGTCTCACCAGTGCCCGTCAGCACCTTCACCTTCTGGGTCTTCCTCAGCTTCACGGCCACACGCTTTAGCACACTGGTGATGTCGTCGCAGGCCTCACCCAGGCCATAGTGCTGCACGTACCTGTACACAGGGCGATGGTCAGCAGCTCCACCAATGACCCCTCGTGGGTGCGGGTGACCGCCACGTGGACCTGGGGGCCTCACCGACACCTGCCTTCCGCGTGGCCACGACCAGCTGCCCGAGACCCACTCCCCCACCGGGGTCCTGGTGCGGCGGCCAGAAAGGCTGCTGCTCCCAGCGGTGTCATCCCCTGGCCCTGAGCTGGCCTCCCACGATGGCAGCCTGGCCACTGGCACACACTCAGTTTGCTGCCGAGGCTGCATTGGTGCCTCTAGGCGGCTGGCCGGAGATGGACGGCGGTATTCCCCACTGACTCGTGCTCTGGGCCTGGGGGGAAGAGCCAGCATGGGACGGGTGCGGCACATCAGAGGCTGAGAGGCCAAAGGAGACCAGCGTCTTCCACGGACACGTGCCTCCCTGAGCCCCGGGGCCAGGACCCCTGGACCAGCACCTGCGCTGGCCCCTCCCCCTCACCGCCCGCCGGGCAGGCAGGGCTGCGATGTGAGCTGCAGCTGCAGAGTGGGGGAAGCCGGACGGGCCTCAGGCCTCGCGCCTGGACCCCACGTGAGCATCGGAGCCGATCTCGGAACGACAACCCCGAGGAATGCGCGTCCAAAATCAAACTTCCCAGAGCAGCAGCTGCGCAGGACCCTCTGTCCCCAAGAGATCGAAGGCAAGGAAGACTCCCACCCACACACGCCCAAGACCTGCCACCCGCAGGGAGTCGGCTGTCACGCTTCCCAGA